ACATAATCTGAATGTTGTGGTTCTATACAACTCTATCTGTAAATCAGATCATTTCATTCTATAAATGTCCTGGAGAGCCCCTGTAGATGACCCACTGACGTAAAAATATATATGTTTCCGTATTTAAATTCAATTCTGCAGTAATTACAACTCTCATACAACTTCTTCACACCTTAAATTGTTGTGTTGTTAAATTCATAATTTATCTTGCTAGCCATATTAGAGCTGTTACATAAAAATGTTTTATAATAATATCAAACTAAAAGAAATAACTATTGTGAACAATATTTCAATTAGAATACATGTGACATTTAACAGGTATTTCCATTTGAGACATGTGACGCTTCTGTTGTGGGTTTTTAAAAGTAGGAACTGTGTATTCTCAGTGGACTTTCTACTGAAGCATGTGGTCTGCAGAGCCCACCATGCTGACGCCTCCAGCTGCACTGGGGCCATTTGAGAGCGGGTTTAAAAATATCTTTCAACCTTGCGGCACCTGCATCTCTCCACGAAAGGTTGTGTAATCAAAGCTTCTACAGTCGGACTGTTGGTATAGTTAGAAACAAGGTGTCAGGCCACAAAGATCCTGTTCCCTAAACACTAACGGAGGACTAAATGTCCAAAAATACATGATCACTTATACGTTATGTGGATGCAAACTGCACTTTTCATGACTTGCATGTAATGTTTTTTTTTTCAAAATAATTTTCCCCATATTGCTCTTTTGTCCACATCTCTGTTTTGTTGTTTTTTTGCACATACAGTATACTCATGGGTAGTGATCTGTGAACAAAAAACTATAATCTCAGACTTTCCCCAGGGACAGGGACCTGCCCGGCCTTCCCCTCTCTACTCTCACCTTTCTGCTTTTGAGTTATGTTTCCTCTGAACATGAAACACATTGACTATTTTAAGAGGTTTCTCTACAAATCCGAATGAAAGTGCCAATTTTTAATATCAGATATTAATTGATATTAAAAAATGTCTCAAAATTAGATACTCAATCGACCAAGTATTAATACTTGAATGGTATATATTCCCTGAGCATTATTAAAATAATGTTGAACTGCAAGCCATCTCTATCACAGGCTATTTATTCTAATCAAGAGCTTGAATATTTTTTGCTCTGTTTTTGTTCATCACCACATTTCTAAAGCAGTCTCCACTGCTTTAAATGTTGAATTTGTTGTGTCATAAATAGTATTAACTACAGTATAAAAGTTTAAAAAAGAAACAGATAAACCTCTCAAAAAGAGCATTGGTAAATTAAGCTAAAGTGGAGGTTCAGACTGGAAGAATGGAAACTCTGTGTGCACAAGCTCAATGCTCCTATTCCACCCCCAGTAGCTGCGCTGCAACAGCAATCAGTCAATCACTCTCTGCTGGCAGCTCCGCACCGCCAATCCTCACCTATATTTAAGCTCTGCCCTTCATCTAGATTTCGTATGTGTTGCAAGCTTTTATTTGTGCAAACAACCCTCCTCCTCCCCATCACCACCTCCAGCTCTTCAACTCTTCTCTAACCTACAACCACCAGGGTCTAGGTCCCGGGGGATTTATTCTCATAATCTCTATTTTTTTCCCCCTTTCGCATTTGTCATGCAGTGTTCTACCGGGGTCTGAGCGCCAAATCATTCAGGACCTCTCAAAACTATACATTTTTGCACATTTGGTCATGTAATCTACTCTCAATATGTTCCCTCACAGCTGTTCTGTGAGGGCCTCAGAGTTATGGACGGAGTGTATTGGGCACTAAACAACATCATGGAGGCAGAGGAGCACACCAGAGAGGCCAGGGATAAAGTTGTGGAGACGTTTGAAGCAGTGTTAAGTTATACCAAGATTTCCCAAGATTTGAACATCTCACAGAGCACTTTTCAATCCATCATTCGGAAATGGACAGAGTATGGCACAACTACAAACTTACTTAGGCACAGGCGTCAACCTAAACTAACAGATTGAACAAGGAGAGCACTGGTCAGAAAGGCAACCAAGTAAAGGTAAAGGTGCACTTTATTGATCCCCGTGGGGCAATTCATCCTCTGCATTTGACCCATCCTGATGCCGCTAAGGCTTACGTCAGGAGCAATGGTCGCCGTAGTAACAGCGCCCGGGAACCCATCTCCAGATGTTGATACTCAGCTTGGTCAGGACTACCGGAGCTGGAGGATTTAACCTAGTGTGAATGTTTTTAGTGGTAGGGGAAACCGGAGTACATGGAGGAAACCTACGCAGGCACGGGGAGAACATGCAAACTCCACTCAGAAAGACCCCGTTCCGCCCGGGATTCGAACCCAGCATTTTCTTGCTGAGAGGCGAGAGTGCTACTGTATCCACTCAGTCAACCAAGTGCCCCAAGATGACTCAGGAAGAGCTATGAAGTACTGCTGCTGAGCTGTGGGAGTCTGTAGAACTATCAGTCGTACGCTACACAAATCTGGCCTTTATGGACGAGTGGCAAGAATAAATCCATTATTGAAAGGAGGCCATAAGAAATCTCGTTTGATGTTTGCCAACCTTTGAGTCAAACCCCAAAAGACTTGCTGCTGTTGTTGCAGCAAAAGGGGGTTCCACATTGTATTAACTCATGAATACTTGTGCATGCTCAACGTTTCAGTTGTTTATTTTTTTGTACCATTTGGCTTTCATTTCACAGTTGTCTTTTACTTGTGAATGAACTTTCAGTTAAATCAAAATAAAATCTTTACATTTATGGTTGTATATATGACAAAATGCACACAGGTTCAAGCTGTATTAACACTTTTGAGAGGCACTGTAAATGAATCACCGCACATCATGACATATGTTGCATTTGTCATTCTTGCATATAATGTTTGTAAGAGTTATACAGGTGTGTGCTAGTTTATGTAGATTACTTGCCAACCAATACATACAATTCTAATAACCTGTCTGCTGTCTGTTCGAGTGTCTCCTGATTGAGTGTTTTTTTTGACTTTATGAGTATTTGTTATGTGAGATTTATTCCATATGAAGTTTGAAACGTTAGTATCATGACAACATTATAGTGTGCTCACTGTCATCATGCTCTTGTTAAAGAATTTATGTTTTCCGCAACAATTGTACAAGAAAGCACAGATTGTTCTAATTGTAATGTCCAAGTCAAAACAATTTAAACTAAAAGAGATATTTATCACACATAAGATATAAAAACCTAGTCCCACCGAGTTCCCATTGACTAAAAATAGTGAATACATATTGAAATATTGAAATATTTGCAATAGTGGTCATTTTCTCCGCACAACCAACACCATGTAGATTATTCTTGTTCACAAGAGGCTCATTTGTTGTTCCTCTTTTTAAGGAGAACTTGATCTTCCCCCGAGTTTCCTGTCCAGAAAGAGATGGTGCTCAGGGATCAACAGTTATCTTCAACTAATAATCCAACAATTATCTTTGTGCAGCACGAACCACTGAGGTGTGGCGTTGTACTTCATGTCACTCAGGCTCATAATTGTCGTTAGGGTAAAGGTTAAGGTATAGTACACTTTATTGCACTTGGTAAATGTGACTTCTGTATATGATCTTGCAGTACCAGTCAGGAGCTCTGATAGGAGACTTGTATCCAGATGTGGATTTTTCCTATAGCACCTGGTGTTGGGTGGTACTTTTATAGATTTGTAAAGATAATCCTTTTGTATCCCCTGATAGTGTTCTGGTCTTTGCTGGTTTTTGACTTTTACATGATCATTTTCAGACAGACAATGGGATCTTCATGAAACAAACATACATGAATCATCGCAGGATTTTGTCTTTTTGCTGTAGGCGTTTGTCCTGCGTAGGCCATAGCTATCTAATCCTCATAATACAAAAACAGAACTGAGGGACTGTTGTTTCAGAAGTGATACCATCAGAAGGGATCCAGGTCATGCTCAGTGGTTTACCTGTTCTGTTCTGTCCACACACACACACACGCACATACACACACATACACACACACAAGAGCCCAAACATATTTTGACATTCATACAAAATTTGATTTATAGCATTAATTGATGGTCCCTGATATGTAACATTAAGGACAATAATAATATTATTTCATATTTAATTAGTTTGATCAAAATAACACAGTAGGAGGGCACTTCAAAACTGCAGTGCATATACTGCTGGTGCACTGGAATGGATCAGGAGAGGATTTGTGTGTGTATATTTCTACAAAATAACTGATTATTCAAAGAGATTTTACCTCTTAAACCATTTGGCCAGATTTATTTCCTTGAATTACTTCAGTTGTTTAAAGATGATTTGTTTGTTGCTGAGCTTTGTTGTGGGAGGCCTCAGACGCCACAAACAACATGTCGCAATTTAAGAAAAACCACACAAGACGCATCGGCAGCAAGTTAGCAGACATATGTCGCCTTCACCACTTCCTGCAGTAATTAAAACAGCTATGTTTTAAACACATATCTACTTCACAAGAACAAATGTGACGTGTGAAGAGAAGCTACTTTGATCATTCTTACAATTTTAATGAATCCACTATTTACACAAACATGGACCAGAACCACAAACATAGGTTTAATTAAAATTAGTTTTTGAACCACTTATTTGTTGGAAAGGAAGAAATGCATATATTTAGTTAAACTTTTATTAGAAAATGACATAAACATTAGCTATAAAAACAGACAGATAGTAAAACCTATCTGTGACTGAATACCACGTTAGATTTGATCCATCTTAGTAATTATGCAACTGTGTAGGTGTACACAATAGAAAGTCAACACAACCTAAATCTGCTTTGGATATAGTTACCACACACACAAACAACAGCTACAATGTAATTCTTACCAAAGTGATTTGATGAATGAGAACTAAATATGAAAGTCACCTGCACACAGATCAACACTTTTTGAAATTTTGAGAACAATACCTGGACAAGAATAAATGCTTTTCTCCCATCTGGATACAGGATCTACTATGTATGAAAGTTATATGTAATTTAAAGTTTGATTCTTTAAGTCACAAGTGGCCAAAGTTTCAGTTTATGCAGTGATGGTCATGTTATCTCTGTAGCAGGACGTCCGCTGTGGGCCACCGTAGCTACAAAGCTCTGGGTAGATGTGCGGTGCCTGCTCCAAGGCGAACTCTGACGTCTCCATGTTAGTACTGCCGCAGTACGACTGCATCCGACGTAAGTTCACTGCTTCAATCAAGTGCTGGCAGTGCACCAATGTGATCTGCAGCGCAGACAAAATCATTATCAATAATGTGATTACATTGTTTTCTTTTTTGTCTTTTGACAAAATGAGGTGGGTCTTCACCTGCACTATGATTAATTTATTCTTGGCATTATTAAGATCCAGAAGCTCTTCTCCAAAGCACAAGGTCACGGTAGGCTCTGGAGCCGGATACTGTCCCTCCTGATACAACCGCAGAGCTGAAATAAGAGACATGACCAGTCAAACCTCACCAGAGAACCCCCTGCACATGTTTCCTGAATAATAACAGTGTGTTTTGCTGTTAGTGATTATATTAGCCTTACCTTCCAGGAACCTTCCGGTGTCAAAGATATTGAGGACTGCGTCTCTCTGGAGTTTCCGGGGCACGACCTCTGCCGGACTGCTGCAGAACACTCGGCTCTGGCACAGCCTCTTGATGAAGATGCCCTCCTGGTTGGCTCGCACTAAGACCCCTCTCTCCAAGTGATTCAGTAGTTTTTGTGTGATATAGCGCTGGCGCTCATGCTCTATGAGCTCAGCAGGTGGGAAATGAATACTTTGCATTGAATCAGAGGTGTACAGGGCACCACGGTTCGCAAGCTGCTGTCCCTGTCCAGGAGAGATCCGACAACCTTCAGGATGAGTGACCAGACTAGAGTGAGTCAACTTTCCACTGTAGTAAAAACTGATCATCATCTGGGAGAAAGCTATGAGAGGAAGAAAAATAAATTGAAATAAGTAAACACTGACACACAACACAGTCAATAAAATAATCCAACAACACACACCTGTGCCCACGGCCCCTAACGACACAGGGTCCGGATGGTGCGGAGAGGCTATAAACATGCATTTGAGAGTTATTCAAACAGAACATGAAAACCATCTCTAACCACATGTCATGCCATTATTTTGCTGAATCACCAAAAAATCCATTGCCTTAGCACAATCACATAAAAATAATCTGATGTCAGCAATGTCAAACAGGATGTTTGTCAATTTGTCCAGTCAAAGACTGAACATCAACTCAAGATCAAATGTCACATCCCAATTATATGCCATAAATGTTTTGATGAAGTTATCCTGAATACATATTAGCAGCTATGCAACATGGAAATGTAAACAAAACAAATGTGTCTTACAGTTAATGGTGCCCTGTAAAAAATACTCTGGACTTGACTGCATGTTACAAGCTTCTTCCTTCAGAAAAGAAACATGGTCTGTATAGTTAAAACTGGTCATTTAGAAAAATCATAATTACAGAATAACAGTCTCACGTCTTTGATGAAATCTTCTATAGTCTCCGGACTGCAGTCTATGTCAGTCATATCAGCAGAGATGGAATTATGAAAAAGCAGCAGTGGACCTTTACCAACTGTAAAAAATACAATTCAAGTGATGATTTGTGATAACAAAATAACAAACATTGCATAGACAACAACCTCTTCATACTTTTCTGTTCCTCCTCAGGAATTATACGGTAAACTTTATAAGGTTCAGAAATGTCCAATTGAGACCTCTCGGCCACCTCCTCAAAGTCTGGACTTTTGTTGAGAGCACAGCGGAGTCTGGTCTTCCAAGTTGCTGGTTCAGCTTTGTCCCCTTCTTTAAACTTTCCTTTGAATACAGCCCAGGCCTGCAAACATATTTCAGAAGATAGGCCAATAGTTGTTATTCAGAACATTATTTAAGTGTCCTAGTCAGAGATCTATTTTTACATCATTATTTGTGGTCAAGAAACTAAAGTCAAAATAATGCTGATTGCCAAGTATAGATGTGGTAGTGAGATTACTATAGCAATTGTATTACTGCAAATATTTACACATTTAAATCCAGATGAGTGTTGTGGGGATCTACTTGAATGGGAGTGTTTATCTATTGATCCGGTAGGTTCAAGCCTTTTTACCCAATAGAGTAAAATGCATTCTCTGATTGTTTAAAAACCTGGGTTTAGTTGTTTTATCATTAGAGTGGCCCATGTCCTGTTCATTCACGTGTATGTTTCATGAGTGACATTATATTAGACCTTAAAGATGGATGCGTCCACTTCTTGGTTGTAATCCTGTTTTCCTGCGTGTTTCCATGGGATGCGGAACATGGTGCGGGTGTCATCCTCCCACTCCAGCCCACAGTAGTGTCCGCTCTGGATCTGCTCCATCAGCCACTGCTTCAGCCTGCGCCCTCCACACTGAGACATCTCAGTGCGCGTCAGATGAGTCGCTCTAAGTTACAAACAGAAGCCATGTATTATTTTCTGTGTAATAATAATGACAATTCTATAGGAGAAGTGACAACAAAAACTTACGATCTTGTCAGTAAACAATAGTTGGCGCTGAGCCTGGTCACTGTCGCTGTACTACGGCACAAGTTTATAATCCGTGTTGTGAATGGGATGTCACGGAGGGGATTTGTCAACGATCTTTACTCCAACCAATCAGCGCACAGACGCGCACAGACGCCACCCCGCAGCGGAAGACTTCTTCTAACCGTGGGGATTTACAAGAAATGGGTCTGACATGAGTTTAGCTTGTAAACCTGCTGCCCACGCTCAAACCACGCAGATAAACGTAGAGTAATTTCAACGCTTTTTTTGTTGTAAGGGATTTTACGACCCCACAGACATTCTGAGGACAACAATGGGCCTACAGCATCCTGTGCAAGCATAGACTTTTATATCAAGATGTATTATCTAATTGCAGTTTAATTGGCATGAATGCATTTATGGAAACGTTTGAAAACATTTTCAAATTTGTTTTAAAATTCTTTCCATCTCATTCAATTAATCAACCTATTTTTGTAGAGAGCTGTTCCTACACAAGGTGACACAAAGTGCTTCACAGCCAATTTCACATCATTAATCATGAATAATCACAGCGCATTAAAAAGAGTAATGATACAATCCTTCAGTTGTATGCATAGCCAAACAAAATTGTTTTAATTCGGACCTGGCCCTGTCTCATCAGGATTCGAGCTGCAGCGTTGTGAAAATACTGCAATATACTGTTTTAGGTCCGAGTCCATTATTACTCCTGGATAACTGATCTGATTTGAGAGACTGATGACGCTCTCTATGATTCTGGGAACCCAAGACAATCAAAAAAACTTTTTTTTTTTTTGCATCCACTCACTTAAGATATTAATATTAATGATTCAGTAAGTTAGTCAGTGGGCAACTTTTTCAAGAGTAGTTCCCATAAAAGGCAGATTTTAAATGGGACGGCCATTTTTAAGCACTGTGGCATCTAGACTGCTCTTGGGGAAGGTTTCAGACTGAAGGGACTTTTACTATTTGTGTGAGTGAAGGTATCAGACTGCTCAAAACGGACTTCAGAACTCCAGTGGGCAGTACATTCAGGCTGCATGTGGAAGAACCTATTATAATAGATCCATGGGAAGAACTCAGACTAGGGATGGTCTCCTGGACAGTTTCATCATCTGCAGGTGCAAAGTGAGTTAGCTCAAAAAAGCCTAGCTGGCTGTTTAATGGTCTAATTGTGTTGTGGAGATTATGCCGTTGTTGATGCCTTGAACCTTGTCATTGAAAAACTGCTCAAACTCATAACATTTAGATTTGTTCCAATGGCAGCTGAACATAGGAGTTTGTTAATATATTAACTTTTGAAAACAGAACACAAAGATTGCTACTGCAGCCTTGAATAATTTAGAACATACCAACAATTTTTAACAAATATACATGGTGATGAACACAAAAATAGATTGTTTAAAACATAACCACTTTATTGTGAATCTTTGCTTTTTATTATAGCAAAAAACTTTCACAGTTTCCCATTAAAACAAAACAAGAAGTGCATTGTTCAGGAATAATAACAATATTAAAACAGAACCAGATCTGAGGCAGCTTTTATTTATGGCAGCTTAAGTCACATAACGAGAACATTATAATTAGCCTAACAAAGATGTTGTCAATAAACCATTAACATTTGTATCTAGATGTAAAAGAAAAGTAAAGAAAAAACGCTTAAATCTACAAACAACACATTCAGGTTCACAGGCCAAGTTTTACAATGGAAGTAATTGTGTAAATATAGCTTAAGTGTTAAGGCGCCTGTGAAGAGACCAATATTCCTAACGATACTATCGATATATTGGTCGTTAAAGTGTCGATCGTTTTCAAAGTGATAAAATAATGCATAGATTGGTTTATACTGAATAAAAGGGAAAAGAAGGAGTCCATCAGTATTTCAGCAGTGGCAGTTCAGCTCTTATCTACATCTTTATCCTCATCCTCGGGCAAAGCGCAGCCGTCCCGTCTCTGACTGGACCAGCGGTTGTCCAGTCCTCTTCTCTGGCTTTCCTGGTGCTCTTTGTACTGGCTCAGCAACACGGCCACCTGCTCCTGGTCTTTGAAAGGACAGGGCCGGAAACTGGACTCTAGCCAGGTTCGGTACTAGAGAGAGGGGGCAAGAAAACAAAATATTGAATTAAAATTAGAAAATGAAATTATTATGGCTTAGAACTGTGGTACCAACTTCCTAAATGCTGTCAGTATTGTCAACACAAGCAAAATGAGACAGATAAACATGGTTCCTTTTAACAGAAATACTAGTATAATTGAAATAGCTAAGAGCATTGTCCTGGAGTGTTCACATGTTTTTAAAGGCACAGTATGTAATATGTACTACTTATGGTCTAATCAAGTTATTACAGCTACAATCTTTCTGCCTGTGACACACGTAGCTCCCAAGCTACGGAATTTAGCTAAGAATGGTACAAACTCTGTATTACGTAGTTGTTTTTTTTAACACATCAATAGAAGTTCACTCAAAATTCAGTGCTTATAATTGAGAGAGAAAGTCAAAAATCGGTTTCCGGGGCAAAATAAATAAGGACATTTAAATCTACAATTCACTATGATACAGATTATCTTCTAAACAAACCCTCTCATCCATACCAGACACAGGTCTAATCCTTCTCTGACCCTATATCTCTCCTTTCACTTTCTACATTCCTCTTCAGTACTTCTTGTTTGAATATATATTTTTTTAACTGTTCTTGTTAATCCCTTCATAAATTGTTTTTTTGGCAGATTATAGTTTCATTACCTCTGCCCCCGCTTCAGCTGCTTTGAACTAAAAGCTCATTTCTGTGAACACGGAATTATAAACCCTATAATTCCTCCAATGTGAGATCAATAAAGTTTATCTTATCTTATGTTTATAACCTTAGGTAATTAAGTAACAGCAAACCGAAAGCACACGGCGAGAGCGTGGAGCTGTTTGTTACGCATCATGCCCTCGATTGATCGCAGAAGTAGCTCTGGGTAGCTCAGGATCTGCGGCTGCTTCGCTTTCTCTACAGGTGCTTCTGTAGTACAGGAACATCCCCATCATGGAAGTGTTTTTGTATGTTTCATGACAGAATATGGAAGATTTTATGTGTCATCTGATTTTAAAGTTTAAATGTTAACCCTGAAAAAGCATGTTTGAATATGTTTGTCTTTGCAATTCAGTCACTAAAAATTCAGTTTACAATTTTCAATGTGATTAAAGTTCACCTTTTAAATATTCTGTATGTTTATTTTCAAGCCCACAAATTCAATTCGCTTTGAAATGTGATGAAACAAAAAAAGACAATAAGACAAAAAAGAGATTATTTATTCTATCAGAAACTGAATTTGAAATGGACCTGAATTCATTTATTCAAACTTTTCAACACCTTGAATAGTATTGTCTGTGAATTTCAGTCACTGATTATCAATTTCATTATGTTTTTCATTTCAAAATACAAAAATTTGATGCAATATTTTCAATACGATGATGAAAAATACACATGACACGTCCGGTGTTCTGACACGTTGTGTGCTCTGACAGTTTGTTCTGCACAGGCGCAAGTGAACTCTGTTTTCTGTTCACCAAAGTTGGAATCTCTCATATACTTTGGTTCGATGTGGATTAGATACATAGTAACTGCAAATGAAAATATAGGGGTGTGGGAGCCAAGCTAAGTTTAGTTAGTTTGCTATTTAGCATGTAGCACAAACTGTATATTAGAGTGTTAACAATGTGTTTATTTGTTATAAACCAGTAATAACATATTTAGCCTTATTTGTTTAATTAATATTTGAGGTAAGCATCTGCTGAAAGATCAAGACTGTGCTCTCATCTCCACCTGCAGGAAGATAAGTGAGGACCGTGAGGACCAGGAGGATCAGTGAGGAGCAGGAGGATCAGGAGGAGCAGGAGGAGCAGGAGGAGCAGGAGGATCGGTGAGGAGCAGGAGGATCAGGAGGAGCAGGAGGAGCAGGAGGATCATTGTGAGGCTGGAGCTCTGTGAATTGGGTTGCATCTATTTCCAGGCCCGACCCTTTAGAATGTAGATTTTGTTAATTTAGAATATTTACATTACGAGAGAGAGAGAAGAGGGTTTTGCTTTGGTTACGGAGGTATAGACGAGCGAGCGGAGCTGAAAGAGCACGTAGTTAATTTTTTGCAGCTGAACCATACGGTTTCTTACCGTAGTTATTTTATTTCAGAACTCAGAAAATGTAATTTTGTCTAAGCTGTGGAATACATGTTTTTTGTCCATTTCTTTACCTGGAGTCCTGTAGGAATTTTTCCTCTTTTTAAAGTAACACGAGTGAGCAACATAAGAAACTGCAAGAGAACACGGGGAAACTATCGCTGCACCTGATGATCCTGTGTGACGCTAACAACAATAATACTTCGCTGCTATGAATGTTCAATATGTGATGGTTTTCCTGAATATAAACAATTAAACGGGAATATACAGCAAACATTATTTGCAACAAACACTTTTTGAAGAAAAGCTGCAGACGTTACAGTATTATTTTCACCCGTAATGTTTCATGTTATCAACCCATAGACCAGCTGTGAGCTAACGCCACTCTTTACCTCAGTAAAGTGACGCATGCGCAGACCAACTTGACTGAGCACACAACTGGTCAGAACACCTGTGCCATGTGAAATTTTCACCATCGGCAAATTTAGACAGTTGACGCTAAGCTCTTGAAAATATATGCATATGATTATTTTTATTTTGAAAATAAAAAAATATAAATATGATAATCAGTGACTGAAATTCACAAACAAAAATTCAAATAGATGATTTCAGGTCCATTTCATATTCAATATCTGATGGAACAAATAATCTGTATTATTTGCCATCATTTTACAGTGCATTAAATTTGAGGGCTCGAAAATATGTCACTTTGAAATTTTAATCTGAATTTTTTGTGACTGAAATGCAAGGGTTCAGGGTTAAGAATTTCAAATCGAAAAATTCAAGCTCATTTAAAATTTTAAATCTGATGACACAAAAAATCTTCTACACAGAACGTTATCGGATCCCCTGAACAGGATGGACTGATTTTAAGGGTGTCTAACGTAGTGGACATTAAATACAATTATCATGGGTTGGGATTAGGGTTGTAAATGGGATATTGTCTATGTTTTAGAGGCAAATAGAACACAGAAACGTTTTTTGAAAAGAGATTAATTTCTCTGTAATTCTATATCTGTGATTTTTTTTACTTTCTGTTTTGAGATGTGGGAAAAATCAGGCAGATAAATCACGTTTCCTCTTTAATCCTCGAAATCTACAAAACAGTAAAGACCTTTTTAGTCATGCCATGTTGCAAGTTGCAGACTGTAATGTCCATCACGTGACGATGAGCACCGCGCTAATGCAACCTGAGCAACCCCCCAACAGTTCCCCTTCTATTGCCATGAAGTCATGCCTTGAATTGTTCACTTTTATTCAGTCTTTCAGATTCTACAGATTGAAAAGGGCATTGATATTGTTTTTATTAACACTGAAAACGCATACAATCACTTTTCTGTACGAGTTTCAGAATTGGAAATTGATTTACGTTTTCTCACACTAAGCCGTGTCATTTAAACTATATGACAATGGTTTAGCAAAATATCAAATCACAAATATACAAACTTTATAGTGTTTAGTGTTGCAATATATTTTAAAACAAGTTCATATCTTAAAGTCCAGAATGTTCACACTTTGTAGAAGTTAAGGATCACGCATTTCAGGACATCTTTGAATATTGGACGTAACTTTTATGTATGACTTCTCCACAACTGCTTTCGCTACATCATAATAATAATAATTAAGATGGATTCTCCTTTTTACTATTTCCAATTTGACTCAAAGTCTTGCCTAATTTTCCCAAGTTAGATCCTGCTTGGACATGAGCAACAGGACTAACAGTATAAACCGTACGTACAAATGTAAAAAGACAGAATGTGATTTTCTTTATTCATCTGTTTGTCACTATTTGACGCTTTGTTCTGAGAGCTGATTGGCCGAGGGAGGGGGGTCATCTCTTTGTAACCTGTCTGTAAAAATACACGTACATGAAAACTAGTGATAGAACCAAACCGTTTTAGAGCGAGCAACTAGTTAGATGGATTTAAATACTTTGTTTTTATTGTTTGTGGATTGAAAGTGTACCTAACACCAGCTTTAAGTGTGCTTTCTGTTGGAACTATGATAAGAAATCTGTATCATACAACTATGAAGGTCCCCCAAAATAACAAGTTACAGTTTGGCATCGGTGTTTACCTCTGAAACTAATGTCACTTGATATTCTTGTAGCTGCTGCTGGAAGCCGTAGTTTGGGCCCACAAATGAGCGGACGGCTTTAATGGCAGACAGGCATTCCTCCCAGTCGTACTTTGTGATAGTCATTAAATAGGCCACCACCATCGTTGTGCTACGAGACACGCCAGCAAGACTGTCACAACACAATAACATATGGTTAGCAGAAATCACAAGGAAGGATCTAGATCTGAACACACTATCGTTGTTTACCAGTGAACCAAACATGCTCCTCCGTTCAGGCGGCACTCGTGGATGAAGCCGATGGAATCTTTAAAATGTTGTAATCTGAAATATACAACACACTCTTCTTAATGTGAGAATACACATTGGGTACATTCTAGATTTTGTAATATAACTCGACCTAACATAAACATTGCGCAATTAGACATGGTGGATTGCTCAGTCAGGAAACATGGATGGGGCTTTGCATAATCAAGCAGCGCAAAAGCAGATAACAGCAGAGATGTTGGTTTCTCAATAGCAGACAACAGACTGGAGCTAAAATAGACTGACCAATGCTTTGCTTTTTTAGTCAGATTCTAAGCCTTTTCTCAAAAAAACGTGCTTGCTCATCAGTTTGTTCTGTCTTCCAAGCAGCAGAGGTTTCCGGCTGTCTTGTTTAATATTCAGAAAATGATCCTTGCAACAATGTTTTGGATTCCCACAAGCTGAATTTTTGAACACACAATCAATGGCTGCATTTTTTCCTTAACAGTAGAAGACCTTGGACACCCATCGATCCCTGAGCCTCCATGTAGAGCCGTTATAAAGAGGTCAAGATCAAAATGTGTACAAATGGTGACTCCTGTGTACAACAGAAAGACAGCATTTTTAGTTGTGGCTTTTCATTGCGGCACTAATCTGACAGTAGGCCTACAGCGGGTTGACAGTTTGCCTCATTAGTCAGACCAGTGATTGTGACAGAATGGTGTATAAAACTCGGGGCCAACAGCCAGATGTTAGCCTGCGGTTTCCTTCCTCTGCTGAGAGCGAAAAAGACTTGATTACGACAAGAGGTCAGACACCTCTATTTCAGATCAGTGGAAATTGTCTACACTATTACATTCTTTAAAACATTTATAATCACATTGTTTGTAATCTGTGGAATTTAGTGGATGAAAGCTCATTTGGCGCCAAAGTAGCAGAATTTCTACATGAGCTCATGAATCCAGGACACCTTGGATACAGCAATCAGGTTTTCCACAAACGTTTCCCGACATTTTCATACATTTTTTGTTTTTTGTTTCAAGGCTCCACTTTTTGTTAGTGTCAAATCAAATTTCTGAAAATACTCATCTAAGGGTTAACATATTCACTCATTCAAATTTCAAATCAATGGTTAAGACTAAAAGGTTTAGATCATTTCAAGCAAAAAAAAAAAAAATGCACCCAGCAGTGTATCTAGTTACAAACTTGCGTTCTGGAAAGATTTAATTAACCGACTTTCAATGGCACATACAAACATTAGCTGGAAGAAGATATTTACTGAATGTACAGGCAAGTTCAAAAGTGCAATAAGGAAACTTTTATTTCAACGTTTATTGAACCTCAAATAACGCTCAGTGGATTGTGATCTGCTGATATGTGTCTGGGAGGAATCCTCTTATCACACTGATGGTGCGCAGGCAGAACAGTGAACTCACACAAAACTTGTCACTTGGTATTTTCTCTTTTATTGCCACCCAATTATCTGCTTTAACAATGTTACACACAACCCATAATAGAAACATATTCCACATACTGGTACATCTTTCAGCAACAAGACCAACAAACTCATCTGGATCTCTATCTGAAAATGGATTTCCTTCATTGCAGGACAATCACACTGGATATCTTTACATTGGTACTTTGGTTTGAATTATTAAAATATTCCCCAAACAATTCAAGAAGGTTAAAAAGGGTTTATATAAATGAAGCTCACTCACAAGTTTTGACTGGAGGCATCATCAGCTTGAATACAAAGGTAGGTCTTATCCTAAAACACATAAAAGACAAGAGGGAAAGGGTACACAACAATAAATATAAAATCACTGCTTCAACACACAGCTTGTCAATGCAGAGTTGATCTCAACTACAGCCCGTCACCACCCCCCTCTGGACAACAGTGATCGCACCACACACAATGTTATTGTGCACATGGAACAGGTTGTACTTACCTCATACACAGGCTTGGCATTGTTGTGCACCGACAGAATGTGTGTGATACCATTTTTTGCCAGACTTTCCCTGTCCTCTGAATCTAAAAAAACAAAACGGGGCTATGAGATTAGTCTCCAAGCCTCTAAAGTTCTGTACGGATTTTTATTTGGTCAATTGTATGGCCAACTCTGGTACAATCCCATGATCAACTATGTTATTGATGTGAACTGGGACCATATAAATTGGACTTAAAAGAGTCTATAATGAAGTTAAATTGAAATTTAGATCTAATTAAAAGGAACGACATGCATCTCCTACTGGTTTAGAAAGAATAACCCTGTAATAAACAATAAACATGGCTTCAGTGTCAGAGAGGACTCAACAAGTGCTGGTGTTAAGTGTAGGTTAAAATAACTTCTCTTTCACCATTGAAAGGCAACTCATGTGAAGCTTATTCTGCTTTCTGATTGGGATCTCTAGATTTTTGTGGCCATCATCACGGGTCTTGTTTTAACATCTAAATACATAAGCATTTCAACTTTGATGAGAAAATATGTTTTCATTTGAACATGTTTATCTTGTGCGCCAGGGACACACATATAAGTGTAAATAAATTTTAACAAGTCATTGAAGAATAAAAGAGATTTACTCACCTCTTATGTTGCCAAGAAAGAGGCCATCAACAACCTGTGAAACAGCAGCCATTGAAAATACATTTGCTTTGGGAATGCAAGCTTCAACAGACACTGATATATGACGGAGGTCTATGCAGCCAGATTGGGATTTAGGGATTAAGTCCTAAGTAGCAACAAAAGGAAACCACCATACAAGGTCTGAAGCACTTTGCAAAAGACACTTCAACAGCTAGAGCTACAAGCTACCTTACTTACATTCTCAATAATATTTTTTAATATTGTTATTAACCCAAACTAGGGTTGTCAGAAGCATTGACAATCAGAAAGTAATCAAAACTGAAACCAATATCAAACCAAATAATTCAAACTAATAAGAAACGTGAGCTGGGTTTAGACTGTCATGAGACAGGTTAGTTTTTCCCATAGACTGCCCTCTTCCTTTTCATAAAACAGTTATTTTGTACCATCATGAAGATCACAGATGTGTAAAAATAGATGTTGGTATGTTATTGGTAAATCAAGTCTGGTGAAAAGACCAGTTCAAACACAGAGGAGACACCTGGAGATTTCAAATGTAATACCAGCTTCAATATCCATATGATAATCAAGAAATCTAAATGTTTCCATCTGGGTCATAAAACAGGGGAATCCAATGAGGTGTGAAGCAGTTATTATAATAGATCCATGGTGTGAAGCCACAAATAAACCAGAATCAAAATGACTGTCTATAAAAGGGCATCAAAATCAATATACATATCTTCATGCAGACCAGAGCTCCTATTGTGCACAAAAATGGCCACGTGAAAGGGATTCCCAAAGATTGGACAATGTGCTGATAATACAATAAACACATTTCCTAAAATACCCTTAATGCACTGTACGGTTTTAAGACTTGACATGTTAACCCTAAATAACAGAATATGTGAAATCTAAATATGGCACCAGAGGTTGATATAGTAACCACGACAATGTGAAACAAAGCATTCAAAATATTGTTTTGATCATTGACTAACATATGCTTACCTTGTTCATACCATTCCCCATGATAACAGATCGAGCTGAATCACTTAAAGCACTGCTCTGAAGACACAGGCACCTGTGTGCTAAGATGTATGCTACAACAAACTAAAGCTTTTAACTCAAATCTAACCATTCGAGCTAGTATCGCCGCTAGTTCCCATAATTACCTACTAATTACAACTTTAATAATTGAACAAACACGCAGCTCGCTCATGCTGTGGTGGTCAACTTCCGGATTGTTTTGACGTGAAAACAACTGCGACTCATCCGGTAAGTGACGTCATGGCTGCTGTGCCTCGTTTGACCTTCAGAGGGCTTCACTCCCAGTGTTGCACAGGATCAACAAAACATCGATACTATTACATTTTTTAAATAAGAAAACCATAAATCCATAAGTCACGTGAAAACCATCAGTTGGTTAGCACGGATACAGCTAGAATTGAAGGTTATGCAACAAAATCCAAAAATAAATTAACGTCCTGCTTTTAGGGCATTTACAATCAACAATATAAAAATGTGTCAACGGTAGCTGTATATAAAACACTTAAGAGGCATGTTTCCCATTTTTTCTTTATTTTATTTGTTAATAATATACAATGACCGTAAGAGGAAGTGATCTTCCAAAATGTACAACTGAAGTGATTTGAACAATTGATAAATACAGAATTTTTTTCCTGGATTGGTCCCCTGGGTCATTTACTTTTTCCACTGCTTGTTTTCATAGTCCCACTTGGCCGAAAAACCTTCAACTGGATTCATTCTCATATCCAGCATCCTTTGCAACTCTTTTGCTTTATGTTCAGGATCAAATGTAGGTGGGACTGGCCCATACACTAAGGAGAAAACATTAACAATTAATACAATTAGATTTAAATACCAAAAATTACATCTGCCTTTGAGTATTAAATCACCATATTTCCTTTGCCAGAGCACAACCAAGCCAGTGAAACCAATGAAAAACAGGATTCCCCCCATCACTGACTTCCATTCTCCTGAGCTTTTGTTCATCTCAGCAAAACTCTGGTTGAAGCTGATCCGGTACACTACAGAAGAAAACAACAACACAATTTATTAGGGGGATACAACTATTTGAAAGTAAGTTATTGTCTTATATAGCCACGTGAGTGTCAGTCCAAACAACCACCAATTATTAAAAATGTTGGCTGAATGAAAAATGACAGTTTTTTAAAGTTGCTCTGAAGATGGCTTTCAAGCTAAGATGCCCTTTAAAAACCCAAAGCCTAACTCGGATCTAAAAGATTAGAATTTAAAAAAGAACTTTAACTATGATTTGTAATACACTTTTTTATGTTTGTAGCAAAACTAGGATATAAGGTGGTAACTTAATTGATGGGTCTAAGAATAAATAAAATTATGAAAAGTTTCAACAATTCTATAAAAATATACAATGCAATTGGCATAACACACCAGCGCTGCAAATGGCGAAGTGGCACGCTCTCTGCCAAAACAATTTCCAAGTGGTAACTTTTGTTTGTAACTTACGTGGCAATAAAAATGATTCAGATAACATTCTACTTCTGAGCATTGTTTGTTGTCAAATTGAGTTAATTGCAATTGTGGTTTGCATTAGTTCCCACTGCACACAGTTATGGTGCTAATTATTTCCTACCAACACTTTTCTTAACACATCTGACTTCTGCTCAGACATTGACGCTGAATGTAAAACATTCTTACATGCAATCTTATCTTCATTGGACAGAGATGCCCAGGAGCCCATTTCCTTCTCTTTGAGGGATTTCTGCTCTGGAGTTAGAGTCTGCACAAAGCTGATATCTGGTAGAGGATTCTCACGCCTGTCAAAGTAGACAGGGAGTGCGTAGTCGTCAACTTTGGCAACCCCTGGAAAACGAAATGATACTTCAGTTTGAGCAATATCCTGTGACATAAACAGTGACAATACTAACATTTACTATGCTCATGTTATTCACTTTAAATGCAGTTAACTTAAAATAGGCTAACTTTTAAAATGCTATCCTTACCATGTCCCCCACGTAGACAAACAGAGGTTGAAATAGCACGTTTGCTGACGAGTCTAAGAGCTCTGGATGCCAGCATTCTGTAAACACAAAGCAGCTACATCATAGCAGATGTGTAGCTACAAATCCAACTATACCACTTTAAAAACAATGATAACATTTTGAGGCATTTAAGTCAATAAACCTTGCAAGTCGGTGATCTCATAGTTCACCTATAGTTCAGCTTAAGTTATAACACTACCTAAAAGCTTAGCTAATGCTAGTTCTGTGTTAGGTGCCAACACAAGGTCATGTATGCGGGAATGATGTTCTCTACATTTTTAAAGGACAACGTAAAAAAATATATGGTGTAAATATTGCTTAACGTACATATTCTAAAAAGACTAGACCCAACTGTTTATAAACAAAGATGATCAGCGCCAGTGTGTAAGTGATATTATGTCCTGATGGTGTGCTAGCGATAGCATACTACTTAGCATCTCAGAACAACTGCGGACATTGAGAAGTCATCTCGATTAAATGTACCGCAGTATAAAAGTATATCGTAGAACACACATTTAACTGCCCAAAGAATGCGTGTGAATTGTTATTGACGCTGTATTAGCGAGATAATAGATCTTTATAAAATGCGACCTACTTCGTTTCCTTCGTTTCCTTCGCCCGTCGCCCTGAAAGGATGTGCAGAGGGAAAAACGTCAGAGGTCGTAAAGCGCTCTACGTTTTACGTTACATTCTGGTTTACGGCACACCGGTGAAACTTGTGGAAGCAGGATTCGTCCGTGTTAATTGTTTTCACTGCCCAGTTCGATTAAACCAGGGTTCATTTTCCAGCCTGCATGTAAATGTGTAGGTTGCAAATGCCAACGTTTGACCCGTTGCGTTATTAGAGGTTATTAGCTAACTTTTCCCACATTTCACATGGATCGATAGTGAGCTAATGCTAACCGTCTGTTTCTCTACACTGCGTCGTACTAGCGTATTTTATTTCTATATTTATTATTAATTATTTCATTTAAACATGCCTATTCAACTGACAAGTCAGGCTTACTGTAAAATGCTTTTACACGCTGCCAAATATCCTCATTGCGCCGTGAATGGGCTTTTAGTCGCAGAAAAGCCGAAAGACAAAAAGAAAGATCATCAGAGTCTTAGCACTTTGTGTGTGGACTGTGTTCCACTGTTCCATGGTACTCTCGCTTTGGCACCAATGCTTGAAGTGGCTTTAACCCTGGTAAGTACTTGATGTGCTTATACTTTATATTATACATAATTGTTTTAATTTTACACGCAAGCACTGTAGTACAGTTGACGGCCTGGGTACCTAACTTTCAAAACATTGAATTGTGTCATTTCTAAGTAAAACACTTTTCACGAGCATGTAATTCGGTCACTGTCACATCTATTGAGCAGGTTTTTCAGACAGCGATGATCAGCCTCGGCCAATCCGCTCTCAGCCCAAAACTCAAATTATAGGCTTGTTTGACCCGGATCACCTGGATTTCAAACGCATAGACTTGAGTATGAGGGCTGATGGTGGGGGCAGAGCTTGGAAAACCATGTTTTTTGTTAGGATGAAGTCTGATTTTGTGGTCTGATTTGTTCACATTTTGATTTTGCTAAATGTTTTTTGTTTGGAGAAACGATATTTATCATTTATTACAAAAAAAGTTTGATTCCCCCGTCTTTAAGAAACGACACAATTCTTTGTTAGATTATTTTTAAAAGTGCAAACCATTATTCTTTTCTCCAAATTCAAATGAACACAATCAGATACATACTTTTATGTTTTACAGATTGACACTTGGTGTAAAGAGAATAACTACATTATTTCTGGATATTATCAAGCAAATGAGCGTTCAAAGGATTCAAGGTACATGCATGAATAACAACTTGAATAGAAAGGAAAGATTTTCAAGAATTTACTAATTTATGATTGACTGTAACTAGGTGTGAAAAGATAAAACTTAAAGCAACAGAAACATTTTCTATGTAATGTTTAGAGTTGGATCTTAACGTGTTGGATAGTGATTCAGAGAAAGAAGTGGCTAAAACAAGATGAAAGTCATTCCTATCATTACTTTCTTTTAATATAATTTCTTCATATTTAAATTTAATTTTGTGTGCCTCAATAAACACATTCCCTCTTTTATCTGCTGCAATAATATCATAGCATTGTTACATTGGATTGTGAAGTATAGTTTTCTGATCATTGCAGAGTCAACCAAGTTGCGGAGAAAGTGGCTTCCAGAATATCCGACAACTTTAGTGAAGCTGCAATTGTTATGGTAAGTGAGCCTTAATAATCCCACAATAAAATCAGCCTTGAAAGTTCTTAGTACCTTTTCAAATTCTATGTGATTCTCTCTGAAGTGACACTCATTATTCTATTGCAGGTGGATAACAGTAGATTAACTGTTAGTTGCTTTGAACCTATAGTTAACATCTATGATCATCATGAAAACAAATGGAAACACAGAGATGTTACAGTGTAAGTTATCTCAAATATACATATACCATAGACTACACTACATGTAATGTAATCCAATCATTAGAACGCAACATACAATTACAAGAAAATTTTTTGGCCCTTACATTTTTCTTGCATTTTTAGAGACTCATTTGAAGACTGGAATGAAGCACAGAAGATTACGTCAGCTTTGCTTGAGAGCCGATGCTATGAAAATCTTATAGACTTTGACAATCACTTGGATGATCTACGAAATGACTGGACCAATCCTGTGATCAACAAGTCTGTCTTAGATCTCTGCTAACATGTGAATAACATGCAATCATCGGACGGATTGATCAGTGCCATTTTAGCATGCACACTTTTGTATGACGGACACATGTTCACAAAGAGTGGGCCATGTTCTTTTATAGTGTCGTGTTCAAAAATGAACAGAACATGCCAAACCTGTAAGGACAAGCACAAGAGGGAAGTGTCATATTTGGAGATTTATATTTAGAAATGACTAGACTTGAGTTTTTAATGCAAATGTTTGTGTGATTTGTTATATAACTAAGTTATTCTGTATGATGAATATCGAATTAGATGCTTCAAGGGTTGTGTCTAGGATAGTTACTTGATCAACATAATACTACTTGAGGTAATTAAAACAAAAATCTTACTAATGAAAAAGGTTTCAAGAAATTAATTTGTGTATTACAATATTTTAGAAAGTACCATGGGGGTACAAAGGGGATTTAAGTATGGTGACCATTAGGTTTTGAATTATCTAAAATGGAATAACTCCGTATATCAAATAAAACTAAACGAATCATGTCTTGAATTGTGTTATTAGTTGGTATCTAGCGCCACACAGTGGATTGTGACCTAGAATGATTCTCTGACCTCATTTAAACTAAAGTGTTTTTCATGTTTTGTATAATCGTGATACGATGTTCTCTCTTGATCATGACGATTAAAGTCAGAAGTATAGATGTGTGTTTGTGATACGTCTGTCAGATGTGTCTGTGAGACTCAGACCCTCGTGACTTCTCGTCGGAACACGTGACTGACCCACGTGGTTCTGTGGGCTGTCGCGCGGGAAAGCTGCTGCTGTTTTCAGACACCACTGCTTTTATTTGACTGGTGTTGACTTTTCTTAATACAAATCATGGACGCATCTGAAGTAGAGTTTGTTGCGGAGAAAGAAGTGGTTCAAATCATACCAAATTTCAGTCTGGACAAGATCTATTTAATCGGGGTAAGTTGACCGATGGCAGAAGGCAGGACGCTGATCCTCTAATGCTCGTGTGTGTCTGTATTTATGTGTGTATCATGTTTTAGGGAGATCTGGGTCCCTTTAACCCTGGACTGCCTGTCAATGTCCCTGTGTGGTTAGCTCTTAATCTAAAACAACGTCAAAAATGCAGAATTGTGCCCCCGGAGTGGATGGATGTTGGTAAGTCATTATTTGGCTGTCATGAAATGTCAACAATGCTGTTATATCGAACAACACTGTTTCTTTTATGCAGATAAACTAGAAGAAATGCGCGACCTTGAACGTAAAGAGGAAACGTTTACGCCTGTTCCGAGCCCATACTACATGGAGTTGACGAAACTACTTCTAAACCAGTAATTCATTTTATGGTCATTCTTTGCATAGACTTGTTTTTCAGACCATTTCCGCCTATAAAATATACTTTTGTGAATCATGAAAGTTTATTGCATTCACTTGATATCTTTTTTATTTTTTTATTTTTTGTATCAGTAAGTATTAGTAATAATAATAAACTTTTAAGTAAGGAGGAATATCACATAATGGTCTTGGCCATGATGGAGGTCATATCCAATGGAAACTATAGTTGGTAATACAAACATCTAAAGTGAAATGTCATACATGATGTAAACTGCTTGCGTGTGCCTTTATCTCTTGTGCTATCCTTGGGTCAAATTGGCCCACCACAGTGATAATAAAATACCCTATATCATTTTATTTAAAACTGAACTTTGATATTCCCGAAATTAACCATTGTGGTCATTTAGACCCTTAAGGGCTTTTCATCACAGCGGAGGGTCATTTTGACCTGAGGGAAGTCAACTTTTCAGAGTTTCATTATCATTTGATATGTATTTTATATTATGAGTGTGTGTGGCTGTTTTCATGTTTATTAAAACATGTTTGTTTTTCTCTTAAGTGCATCAGACAACATCCCGAAGGCAGATGAAATTCGCACTTTGGTGAAAGATCTCTGGGATACACGTATTGCCAAACTACGACTCTCCGCAGACAGCTTCATCAATCAGCAGGAGGCTCATGCCAAGGTCTGAAATCATTCTTTAGTTTAGTGCAGTTTGATAATAAAAGGTCTATGCAAAGTTATTGTGACTATAGATAATCTGTAAAAATATTGACGCATTTCAACAATAAAACAATTTTGTTTTTTTCCCCCCTGTAGCTTGACAACCTGACCTTAATGGAAGTCAATACCATCCGAGCATTTCTTCTTGACTCCTTGAACTGTATGTATAAGCTACGCTCCAATCTTCAGCCTGGCTCCACTAAAGGACAGTCCAATGACTATTAATGGCTGCTGTTTGTTTTTTATTAAATAATAAAATGTATTATGAATATTGAAATTTCAGCATATTTTTCTTGATTTTGTTTTCCCATGCACAGCTTAAGTCTTATGTGACTTAGATGATTTTCTCCCTAATCTGAGGACACCCAGTTAAAGGCACAAACTTACTCTCTCTACTAGGTTCCCAAGTTATCAATGACCAAAATAGATGGTACTACACTAATCTGATGTCACAATAAAGAATATTTAGAGAGAGCTGCTACAAGTTAATCCTGAGTTTTGTCAGATATTGACCAATATTATAAACCAATATTTAAGATGCCTTTTCAGGAACCTTGACCAGGACAAAAAAAAAAAAACCAGGGCAGATTAGCCTTTACGTAATGCATTCATTTAATTGTTAATGATTGCTTTTGTGGTTTTAATCTGTGTGTTATTTTAAAATATTCTATTAAACTTTGACTCATTGCAATGAACAGTGTGGTTATAACTTGAGCTGTTATTAAGTACACATTTTTGAAATATTTTATTTGTTGTCTGAAATCACAGTCATATATTCATAAATACCTAATTACTACATTCAACAAAGAATATATTACATTACAATGAATTCAAACAAGTACATCTTAAAACAGGATTTCACAGCATCTAGACGTCCTCCGCTGAATCTCGGGGGTATTGCATGTGTGCGTGAACTGGAAATATAGTTGGGCTCTTCAAAGAACATCCTCATCTTGGCAGCTGTGTTCAGCATGCATGTGTAGTCCAATGGTATGATTGAATTTTATATTTTTGACTGGACAGTTTAGAATGTTCAAAAGAGGACATGAAAACTAAAGGAGGATGTGAAATATAATGGACAGATGATAATATAGTAACAAATCGAGTCCCTGATGGTCACAGCAGTGATAAACGCAAACACCCTCACAAGCTCCTAACCTCTGGAGGCACTTGAATCTATTATATTCTTTGTGTTGGGACTACAGTCTGTGTCAATTCCTCACTTGAAAACTAGATACCCTACATTAACCATATTCAGTGCAGCTTGGACTTTGGTTCATGTGATGCTTCCTCATGTTTGCAGCTCTTCAATGAAGCTTGATTTTAATCTGTGAAACTTTTACTGCCGCCACTTGATAAGGAGACTGTCGACTTTCAGGTAAAAACCACAGAATAGGGTTAAAAATCTAGAAATGATATGGATTCATTTTATACGATGGCAATTCCAGATTCAATTTTGGCTACCTAACAAAACAAATTTGGCACATGGCTACAGATGAGAACAAGATGTAGTTAGGCTTAAAAGTAATTGCTTTCATGTTTCAAGTCTATACGTTGTGAAAGAATTCATATTGTGACTTCACTATTTATTAAATAGAGTGATGGTCGTCACCAAGATGCTCTTGTGTGTTTTTTTTAACGTCAAAAACAAAAGATTTGATGAACTTTTGACAGACATGCTGCTGTAAACAAAGGCAAAGGACAGGAGCCATACCATGGACCTCTGAGAGGTGGAGCTTTGCTCACATGAAATTTGTGGCTGTAGTTGTGAAGTGATACGAGCAGCAGATCCTGTTTTCTCACTCCGTTTAAATCTAAAATGAGCTGTTCTGGCCAGCAGCAGTATAAACACTAAAAGCAAGGCTTTTTTAACCCAAAAGCATAAACATATAAAAATGGCAGGCTTTTTCTTTTAAAACAAGGGTTAAAGTAACAATAAAAACATACAAAATTCTTTCTTCATATTATATACATGTCAAGGCTGTAGCACCTTTTAAATTTCTTATTTTCAAATTTTATCTTTTCAAATAAAACATTTTTATTAATTTTTTCAAAAAATGTGCAGTTTTTAAATTCTTCCCTAGTTTCAAGAGTTTTTGTAACAGTACCATCAGGTAGTTCTTCAGCTTTTCATTTTAAGTGCATTTCCAGTTCAAAAGCTCAAATGGCCACAATGATGACGTTAGCTCCAAAGGCCAGAAGCATTTGTTGTGTCCAAGTTTCTTGATCACACACATTGAGTAGCTGCTCCCTTGTTGGCAGGATTGTCTGTGAAGCATGGCAAATAGGAGCAGGCCAAACGAAGCACATGTGCCCTCACTGGACATGAAGGATGTTGATCTTCGGACACTCCTACCCCTAGTATTCATGATTGGCTACATTGGCACACATTGTGTGGCGCGTGGCACAAGAACAACCAGGCCACAGCTCAGACTGTCCTTCAGTGTATGGCCTCGCTTATACATTGAATCATTCATAATATCAAAATAGTAACAATCTCTTTCAAGACGCCACATTGACCAGTCAATAAAAATAAACTCTGAGTCTCAAAGTGGAGGCAGCAAGTGCCGGGGCACTTGTGAGGGTCACCTGGGAGGGTAACCTTTGTAATGGCTGCCCCTAGGCCATTGTGTCTGTGGTAGTGTCAAACACTTCCTAAAATGTTCCAATTCTGCTTGCAGCTTCTCCCTTTCTGCTGCCAACCTCTGTCTCTGAGACACAAGCTCCTAAAAAGGAAAAGCGTGACAAAACGGTTGATCATCCACATACATACATTACAAATACAGAAGCTAAATAGTAGTTTCTTACCCCCATACTGTGGGACAACTGCTCAGCAGTGAGGCTCAGGTTGTAGTTCTGAGCTTCTAATCGCCGACATTGGTTTTCCAATATTTGACGCTCCAGGTTTCGCTCTAGAAAGAGAAGCGTTCTGAGTACAAAGGTCTCCTATGTAAAATGAATGTGACATCACTGAGTTACCTTCAGCATACTCCTGATATGCTTCAAAGATAGATTCTATCCCCTGCCACTTAGAAGGAGGTGCCTCTTCCTCCTCCTCTTCATCTGCGTCAGAATCTTCTGGACCGGACACGTCCTCTCTTCTCCCTGAGGTTTCCCGGTGTGTGGTTCCACTGAAGTGCTGGCCGTTGGCTTGAGTGTGTCGGACTGTGCGAGAAACTGAGTTTGTGTGTGATTGCGCTGGTCGTGCTGGAGTGCTCTGGAGCTCAGGAATGTTGTAATGGACTGATGTCTCCAGGAGGTGGGAGTCTGTTGAACCGGAGCCACCTAGAGATAAAAATGTGCCGTTAATCATAGCAAAATACATATTTCCTTGAAATGATCACAGCCTTATTGCTATTATTGCAACCATTAAATGACCTGTGATGCTGCAGAGCATGTCACACACTTGACAAAGGCTATGAAGTATACTTGGACTGAAATAAGTTCATTTGATATATTATAGGGTAGCTTCAAGTTTGGTCAAATTTAAAACCATTAAGACCTTTTTATTGCTGTTTAGTCAGGATGGTGGCATGACCTTGTTAGGCTCTCCACACACCAATGTCCATGTGTTTTGTTGTCTTAATGCAGTGCCCCGATAACAGATGCCGCAATCTCTCAAATTCAATACCCTTTTAATATTGCTTATTTAAATTAAACTATAACTTATAAGATAAGATAAAGATAAGATAAACCTTTATTCGTCTCACAGTGGAGAAATGTCAGTGTCATCGTTGCACACATTACAGCAGAGAAAGGAAATAAGAGCACTCAGATTGCACACATCAAATTGAGTCTATTATTTAAGATGATAGACTATAAAATTATAAGATAAAAATAAAATAAAATGAGATAAAACTCTGGGCTATAATTGCACTTGGTTCAGAAGTATTTACAGATGTCTAAATTATACATTAGCAGCGGAGTATATAAGAATATGAATATGAGCAGATTAAACATCAGAAATAATATCAACAGGTAAAGTGACTGGTGAAAGGCAGAAATATCAGATATGTAATAATGCAGTAGTACTGATAACAGGTAAAGTGACTAGTGACAAAGTTACTAGTGAATTATCAGTGACACTTGTGCAGACTCAGAAGTTCCTGCTACATATTCTCGTTGTACAGTCTGCCAGCAGCAGGAAGGAAAGACCTGCGAAACCTCTCCTTCACACAGCAAGGGTGAATTAGTCTGTCACTGAAGCTGCTCTCCAGAGCAGAGAGAGTGTCCTGCATGGGGTGACAGTCATGGTCCAGCATAGATGTTAGTTTGTCCAGGACCCTCCTGTCCCCACCTGCTGCACTGTGTCCAGGGAACAGCCCAGGACTGAGCTAGATTTCCTGATGACCTTGTCCAGCTTCTTCCTGTCCCTCTCTGTGATGCTGCTGCTCCAGCAGACTACACTGTACAAGAGGCTGATGCCACCACAGAGCCATGTTATTTACATGGCTTAGAGCGATCAATTAAAAACGTAAAATCTGTTTCTGAGGTAATATATGTGAACAATTTGCCTTAATTCCATTTAGTCAAAGTTTGGAGAAACTGAATCACATCGTACACAAATTACATTTGGAAATGAGAAAAAACACCTACACCAAATTAGGACCAACTATTTTTTGTCTTTTACCTTTATGCTTCTGTAGAGCTTTCTGTGTAGACTGAAGCACAGATTCATGAAACTGCTGAGCAAATCCCTCAGGTGTGAAACTGTCCCAGGACTTGGTGCGACCGTTGATGCTGTGATGGCCTTCTTTTGCCTGCAGGGAGTGCGGGGTGCGCAAGCTGTTCAAGAGGCTGGAGTTCTTCTTAATGAGGTGTCCCTCACCAGACCCCCGGGACTTGTCCGGAAAGAGAGCTGGGGAAGGGGGTTCCTTTGGTCTTACTGTGTCCCCATGAGGTTTGGAGTGGCCCCCGGGGGATGCTGGGCGCTGTACGGTGGGACTGGGACTGTGTGGTCCAACACCGGCACATTCTTCTGACTCAGAGACGGGCTGGCACTCTGTAAGCATCCACAAAAGTTAGTTGTAATACATCAGATGTTTTGCAAGATGTGAAAAAAGAGCAGAAACTGGTTTGCTGTTCTCACCAGGAACATGTAGTGGAGGACTTTTGCACAGAGGGTGAGAAGCATGTCTGATGTTATCCAATGTTATACTCTTTTCTTTAATCGCCTGAAGAAGCTCCGTCACCCTTTCGTTATCTGGACATAAAGAAAACATAAGAAATTATTAGTTCACCAGGGTGAAACACACACCTTGTGTTTGTGTGGTGTGTGTAATTATTATAGATAAAAAACCGCAACAAAAACACATTCTCTTCTTACCTAAGCGTTGCTGCACTGTTACATGCGATAGTCGAAACATGGTGAGGAATCTCTTCTTGTCCTCGAGCTCTGGGGCCTGGTCCATCTCCTCGGGGGTGAAGCGTGTGCAGAGCTGTGGTGGAGGGGTGCGTTTCAGAGGTGATGCAGGTGAGGGACTGCGCTCTCGAAGCATCCGCCTCCGCTTCCTTCTCTTCTGCTGAACAACCTCATCTCGGTGGTTCTTTGTGGTCAGCCCAACCACTCCAAAGAAGTCCAATTTCTATTCAAAAGGTTAAAAAAGTTGTGTGAGAAAATATGGTTGAAAAAAACAAAGAGAGGGTTCTTCACCTCATTGGAATCATCCAGTTTGAGAGGCGGCTGCTCTGCCACTCTGCGGAGATGAGCTCGGACTTCTTCTTCATCACTCTCATCGTAGGAATCATCCAGTTCATAGTAGTAACCTGAAACACACAAACAAGTTATGGAAAACCCTCTAACAATGATTAGAAAACAACATGTGTCATGTATCGTATTAATCAGTAACCTTTCTCTCTGGCTTCTCTTCTTTTCTTTTCCTCCAGGTCTAGTTTGCTGACAGGTCTTCGATGCTGTTGAAGGAACTCATCGAAAACCAGTGCCATATCTTGGCTGACCCCGACTGAGGCGGCCTGTCCCACAGCTGAGCCAGAGATGATTCCTATGGCTTGGCCCAGTCTACTGTGCCCCTGAATGGATTTGTTTTTTATGGCTCCCTCCAATTCATACTGGCTTACTAGGGACAACGACGCCCTCTGCTGGTTAAAAAATGACTGGGTAGACTTTTCTAAATCTGCAAGAAAGGTGCTTTGCTCTGAGCCAGGGGGACATCTCAATGGTGGATACTTCTCCATAACACCTCCCTCTCTTCTGCGGCTGGAGTCTTCATATTTTGAGTGCCCTGAAGGCAGCCGTTCATAGTGTCCCATTCCTGAGGGATCATGGTTTCGTCTGGACTCTGATGTTGTTTCTATTAGTGATGCAGGGTTCCACAGTGTGGTGGGAGGCGGAGGGTGGTGCTCACGCTGGAACAGAGGGGGTTTGGGAGAAATGAGAGGTGGAGGGGCGCCTAAGTGGGCGTGGAGATCCCGGCTTCCTGGTTCTTGATGATTAGAAATGCATCTGTAGAAACATGTTTATATTACTTTTTTTCACAAATTATTTTTCAGATTACGATGAAAAAGGTGACATGTTTTTGTTCATGGTTTGTAAGATAATAGGACCTATAATCGTTGCAGTGTCATTGTTGCACAATAAAACAAGATAATAAAAACAAGATAAATATCTATTATTTAAGAGTATAAATAAACACACTCAAGTCTCTCCATAGTTTCGCCATAATCTGAGTTTTACCAAGAACTGTTTCATCAAAACCAGCTGCCTGGGCATACACAATCATTTAGAAAGTGATTTCAAAAAGGTTAAAAATCAAAACTTTCCTTAATTTTGTTCTTTAACGTTTATTTTTAAATGTTTTGCAAAGCGTCTTTGAGTGCTCAAAAAAGTGATATTTAAGTTTGATGTATTATTTTTATTGTTATTATGTTTTTGTGCTTTAGTTATCATGATTTGGCTGCAGAGCTACAGAGTCACAAAACGTGACGTTTTACTAAAGTTCAGCGCTGTACCTTTGAGGGTCTGTCCTGTGATCCGTGTCTGCGGTACGGCTCAGATCCAAGTGCTGCTCCAGGACCTGCTGGCGGAATTCAGACACCTGATACTGACGGTCCTCCTTTTCTTGACGGAGCTTGCGTTGCCGTGCTAACCACCTTTCCTCCTCATTGTTCCTTGGAGTGATCATAGTGGACAAAACACCTGCCCCGACAGCACCAGGCCCCATGTAGAGGTGAGGAAGAGAATGGTGAGGTGGCGCCATAGAGTGGAGTCCAGGTGGTACAGGTTTGGGTGCAGGGAGGCTGGGTTCTTTGGTTTTATCTGGGCAGGACACACGAAAAAACATTTTGGCATCATAAAAATACAGCACTGTATGTTTCTTTGATGTTTATTAATTTTCTTACCAGCCCGATTTGGAGTAAGTCTTTCAGGCTTTGTTCGGTCTTCTTGTCCTCTGAGGCCGTGAAAATCCACCACATAGTGACTCTCCATGACCTTAGAGGCTTGCAGCTCCTTCTCCCTTAGTGCCCTCTCCTTCTGCCTCTCCAGCTCCTTCTCTCTCTCCTTCTCTCGTTCACGCTCTCGTTCTCTCTCCATCTCCTTTTCCCTCTCTCTCTCCCGTTCCCGCTCTCGTTCTCGTTCCCTCTCCCTCTCCCGCTCCTTTTCCCTTTCAGCTTCCCGTTCCTTCTCTTTTTCACGCTCCCGCTCACGTTCCCGCTCTCTCTGCCGTAACTCTTCCTCAAGCTGAAGCCTAATAAGAATGCACATTAGATTAAAGACAAACATTGGACAATCGAACTGCATGAAACTTGGTGACGTTTGTACCTCTCTGTCTGCAATGCTGATAGTGAAGAGTGTGTGAAGTCTCCAGGGTAGCGGACGCCAGATAGATGCATATGGACAGCTGAGGGGTGCATGGGTGGCAATGCTCCCCCTGCCGAAAGCGGATAGAAAGGCGACCTCAAAGCAGAAAGGCAAAACGGGTCATCCATCCTGAAAAAAAGATCAATACGATGTTTTGTGGCAACAGTATTACATCTGGGTGCATTCACCTACAACATGATTCTAATACTACCAATGCTCCTTCAATATCTTTTTCTTCAAAAGCATTTGTAACACCCAAGTAAACATGATGAAATATGAACTCAAGGTCATGCAGAGGTGCTTAAGAGTGAAAGCAACGTCAAAGCTTTCTTTATATGCACAAGTTTGCACTATTTGGTCTCGGAGGAAAGAAAGCAGAGTCAACAAAAACAAACAGGACTTACCTATATGGTGTAAAAGACGGGTGCGGCAAGTAGCTGGGGTGGTAGTAAGCTGCTGCTGCAGCAGCGGTGGCTGGGTCCAGGCCCAAGGGCAATGAGGGCATTCGGAGAGCTTCTTCAGCAGATCCATAGGGTCGGAACCCACGGAGGTACTCTTCAGGCACAGGGCCAGTGGGCACTGCATTAGGCAACTGTCGGGGCAAGCTGTGTAATGAGCAAAAGGATCAGCCAGTATGTTAGCAAAAAATGACAACCAGGTCAGCAGATTAAATATAATGAATGATGTGTGTAAAATTACATTTTTTATGGCCATGATAAACTCACTTAAGGGGCTGGAAACGTGAATCCTGCATGACCGAACCAGGAGGCAGTCCAAAGGCATATGGGTTTCCTATGAGATGTGCTGTGACAGGGTGGCCAGGCTTTTCCTGCGGGAGGGCAGCCTCAGCACCCAGGCGTTCCCTGCTTGCTCCACGGGGGCCCGAGTCAGCCTAGGAACAGAACAAGAATCTGTTCATTGTTTCTATGGACTGCTAGTAGTAGTAATCCTTATTTATATACCGCCTTTTCACTGCACATCGGAGTCTCAAAGCGGTTTACAATTGTGATTTTTTTTTTATTTTTTTTTTGGAGTGGGGGTGCCAGTACAGGAGGCACATGTCAGAACTATTGTACATATTTTTAGTGGTAGGGGAAACCGGAGCACCCGGAGGAAACCTACGCAGACACGGGGAGAACATGCAAACTCCACTCAGAAAGGCCCTGGTCCAACCGGGATTCGAACCCAGGACCTTCTTGCTGAGAGGCGAGAGTGCTATCCACTCAGCCACCGTGCCGCCCAGAGAGAGACTGCTACTCTCTGCTGTGTTGAGTTCATTCTCCCCTTCCCCCATAACAAAACTGTGACCATCTTTGCAACTTTTTAGCTCAGATCACTCCTTCCCTTTTCATGTGCTTCACTTAAACTATCAAGTAATTGTTGTGATATGAAACATGAATCAAACCCTGTTTGAGGGCTACTAAGACATCCTGAAAGTACATTTCAGAAACTATCATCACAAATCACTTTATTTACATTCTTTAATTGAAGTGATGGTATCACTTCTGCTGTCGTTGTGCCCTTGTGTCCTTGGGCAAGACACTCATGGCTATGCTCACATTGACAGAGCAGCCATCCTCCTGTGGACTCACCACCTGCAGAGGGTCAGTGAGGGGCTGGTGCTATGAGACTTGGGTGGCATCTCTGACTGCCACCCCCCGACCCAGAAATGGATTAAGGGGTAGAAAATGGATGGATGGATGGATGGTATCACTTCAATTAAAGAATGTAAATAACATCAGTATAAGGAGACCTTGTTTCTCGGCTGCGGCTCAGAGCAGACTACAAATTAATTTTACACTGATTGTGATAGATATTAATTTACTCTTGACAGTGGCTGTGGAGTTCACAGCATTGTCCACAAATTCTGTGAACTCCAGCAAATCTGCAAAAAGCCAATTTGTCGTGATGAGCGTGAGCAAGCCATTAGAAATGCAGATAGTGTTTATAATCTTATATATGTGCACCTTATGTAAATAAGTTGTCCTTATATAAGGAGCACATACAGGGCTTTTATACAGCACCTGAAGGAATGGATGGTAAGTACATGCACCTGCCCTCAGTAACTGATGTACTATAGGCTTAAGTCTTGTTAATAGTGTAATCTTGAATGAATGTTGTCTAATGTGTCAACACTGTAATGTTAGTCTGGATTGATGTTGTCTGTCTAGTATTTTTTTTATGTTATCCATCCATTCCATCCATCCATTGTCTACCCTTTAATCCATTTCTGGGTCAGGGGGGTGGCAAATCAGAGATGCCACCCAAGTCTCATAGCACCAGCCCCTCACTGACCCTCTGCAGGTGGTGAGTCCACAGGAGGACGGCTGCTCTCTGAGTGTGAGCATAGCCTTGATCTTTCAGTGGGGGCTTTGGGCAAAGTGGGGTTAAGTGTTTTGCCCAAGGACACAACAACAGCAGTCATTAGTGGGAGTCGATGGAGAAGGTGCAGAGGTGGGAATTGAACGTATTAATGTATTTTAATAACGTTTTAACATCAAGGCCTAGGGGATCAGATGAAAAAATAGCCTACTTGGCTAATTCTGGCTTTTTTAAAACTCATGTTTAATTATGTGTTTTATTAAATTGCATTGTCCGCTTTGAAAAAAACTAAACTGAAACTAAACCCGAAGGAAAAGAAAAACAAAAGCACATGAAGCATTTTCAACCCACGTGAACACCATGTGTTACATACATTGTTTACTGCCCGTAAACTGCATGTTTGTAAAGGGCTTATGTTTGGGCTAGTGTCTTGTCTGTTAGGCACATTGACTTGCATGTAATTGTATGAAATGTGCTACACAAGTAAATGTTCTTGTCTCAGAGGTCTCTAATGGACATTCTTAAATCCAACTGGTTAAGAATCACATTTTCTTCCCTCTCCAAGAAATACATTTTAGTTAAAAATAAACCTGTGGAAATCGCAAATACAAAATAATCTTCTTTGGTTGATGTGACTGGCCTGTACTCTTTACTTAACTAGTATACAAAAGACAAACAAATAATAAGAAAACCCTCATCTGCAACATTTCATTTACAATCATCATCCGCGTGATCAGATCCCAAAACCTCCAGCGCTGCACTACGACCCTGCACACTCGCAAGTGCTTGTTTATGCCCCTCAGACGGAAGAGGATTCCAAATTGGCAATTAAAAAGTGATTACAGACAGCAGTGGGAGAAGCCTCCTGCGGTCATTAACGCCAAATGCCACTGCATCAGCCCCTCCTTCTGCCCTGCCTGTCACCTCTGTCTGAACAAGTACTTATATGCTTAACAATATACTGTACATGTGACCACACATCTCACGAGGTTAGACAATTGTACAATTTGATTTATTGATACAAGTTGATCAATCTTGTATCAAGAGAAATGTTTTGTGTGCTATACATCCACTACAAGAGAATAGTAATCACAAATAAATGCTTGTTTTGTCACCACGGGTCATAAAGGAGTCCATGAAAGTGGGACAGCCACCTCAAAGCTTTCATGGTTCACGTGAAGACTGACCTCCTCCACCTTTCACCAGCTTCCTGCTCTTCATCTCCAGGGAGCCGCTAAGAGTCCTGAGAGTTTCCCCATGTTGCCAGTGCTGTTCTGCACCATGTGCTTAGCCTCAACCATTAGCCTCGAGCTGAGATAAGAAGGCTTAAAGCAAGGCCATAATCCATAATCCAGTCCTTATCAAAGCAAGCAGCACCTTTACTCCGCTTCTAGGTGACACAATGGGTGCTGGGGTTAGAATGTAGCCGACTTGACTGCTCTGGGGGTGAGTTTGTTGGATAGGTTTGAGGCTAAAGGCCAGAATTGGGAGGGGCAGGGTCCAAGAGCAAAAAACGGAGCCGAGGTGCTTGAGAGGGACAGATGTTACTTGCCGATAAGTCTGTCACTTTATCGATGTCCAAATGGCAGCTGGCATTGTTTAATGTATGGAACAAGCCCAGTGGAAGCAGACGCTTGCACATATGTCAAAGCCATACTGCCAAGTTATAGGAACAGGTCATCCGATAATCCCTCAGAGAGCTTGGCAAAGAACATTCATGACAATCAATCAGCTTAGTTACACAAATGTCTTCTTGGCCACCAGCAATAAAAGGCACATACAAGGATACACATGTAACAACTGTTAAACTCAAAAGGGCAAATGAAAAGTACCTGTCGACATTCACTCCTCCAGAGGCCGTTGCTCGTTTTTGTTGGGGCGATGGTGACAACAGGTGGAGTGTTTGGCACACTGTGACCAACAGAGGGGACCAGCACTGAGCCTGGACCAAGGGGACCTCTCTTGGGCGTACTCACTGGAGAACTGTGGTTGGTGGCGGGCGACGACACTGGAGAGGATTCACTGCTGATGGAAGAGGCAGCTGAAAAGAGAAGGTGAATCAAATCAATGTCTCAGAATAGAGGTTTTCACAGCCTTTTACACAGATGCGTTGTATCATCAGAGGAATTGTAGAAGAACATAACGGTTACTACATGCGCTCACTGCTCTTTACATTTAAATTGCATCAGATGATTGATATTATTTTGCACACCAAGACACACACCCTTTTCTCATTTCTCTCATTTATAAATTTGACAATAATATTTCACTTTCAAAAACAAAAGTGCGCATTTCCACAATTGAGTTAAACACCAATAATAAAAACTTCCATGGCACAAACAATGAAATCAGAATAGAATCAAGATGCAATACTTAGTGTCATTGTCAAAGAATGTAATAGAGTTGCATCAGCAGTCAACAGTTTGATGTTCCACATGCACTGAAAGCCTAGAATTATACATCATAAAGTCCAAACAGCAGATTATAATAATTTTACTCTTGTGCTACCCTCGGGTCAAAATACCCTAAATTAGTGTCTAAATGGGTATAATTTTTAAAAAATACTAAGATTCAGCTTGAAAAAAAAATATTTTTGGTATATAAATAGTTTTCAATGTGCTCTAAGCACCAGGGATAAATAGATATATCAACGGAAATGGGCATTACTGATCCCTTCCTTCATTTAGGGATGTTCTGATGACACTTTTTTCTTCAAATATGACGTTGGAATCACAACAATGACTTCACAATTTCATGTAAATGTATAAAATTACATGACGATGAGGCGAGAACAGGGAGGACGAAGGGTAAAGTGCAAAGTGGACAGCAGTAAAGACAAGAGCTGCAGATGCGTGAGTGGGTGGTACAGTCAGGGGTGTGGGTTATATCGTGTCCACACAATGGCAATTAGTGGTCTAATCCTCTCCCCCTTACCTCGGAGAGCCATTACTCCACTGCGCAAGACCAGGCTGATCAATACTAGGCCACTCAGTCTGGGGAATGGAGCACCACTTAATACAGCTCCAGTGTCACAGCCTATTCACTCCCCACACACATACACAGCCACGGGCACAAATAAAGACGGGAGACAAGAGAGAGGGGGGGGTGATCACAGAGATTCTCCACTGCTAAGCAACAGACCTCTTCTGTCTCCCCCCTCCTCCCTCAACCTCCTTGCTCCTTTACTATGTATCAGCAGAGGTCTGGAGGAAAGGAAAGGCAGACTAAATAATTAAGAGCAGGTGAGGGAAAGATTGAAATAAAAGACACAGATAGACACATTGGTGCTTTATTCTTTTTGCCAACAACACAGCTATTCTTACCACTTCATATTCTCATTTACACTAAACAATGTCTTTTTAATTTCAACAATAGTAGCCTTTCACAAGTACAACACAAAGTGGTCAGTAACAAATGTCATATGTGCTGCACCATCTACATTCTTTATTATTGTTAAACGATACTTGAAGTCCCAACCTTTCTTCTTGTAATAAACGTGGCCATCCTCACATGCTCTTCCAATGGTTGCACTGATTTATGTGGTGAGTTGTGCGCCATAGAGGCCAGGTTGCCAAAAGAAAAACGTGTCAGTCCTGACTCCTGAGCCATTGGTGATTAATGTGCAGCTCTGCTACAGTCCACTGCTCAAACTAAACCACACATGAACTGTGCTCTCTCTCAGAATATCAGTATTAAAAGAAAATGCCGTCTTCTGCTTCTGACACCGCTGCAGACAGTAGATATTACTTATCACAAGGCAGACATTTGCTATAATATTTAGTCAAATAGTCAACGATGAAGTCTAAGCAGTAGCTCTTCCAGTACAACCCTAAGCAGCCCTTTAGTGCCAGCTCCGGTAATGCCAGGCAGAAGGGGCACAGGTCGTCACTGCCAACACATCAGGCCCCATCACACAGCACCCCTGCTCCTCCGCCCACTGCCTTTCCATCCAGCCTGCATTACAACAACATCAGCACTTAATTAAACAGTCCATTTCACACCTGGTGTGCATAGCAGGGCTCAGCCAACCCTGCATCCATATGCCACCACAGCAGCATGCACTCTCACAAGCCTCAACATGCACACGCAACACACACACACATCGCTCACACCTGCTACTACAGTCTTGGCCACGCACTGACAACGCCACACAAAGCCTGTAATCTGCATCCATGTGTGGGGGTGGGGGGAGGAACACTTTGTTGCTTTGCCAGAGTGAGAAATAAAAACAATACAAGATGGCAGATGAGAATCAGAGGGGCACTCTAATTGACCTGACGGTGAACACTGAATGACAGGATGAGGAGAGAGTCAGGCACCTGCGCCGGGAGCTGCTCCTGGGAGAGAAGCTTGTACCAGAGTGTTTCAGGCACTTTCATTGCCTGGAGGCTTTGCTTTAAACACTCACACATTGAGAACAGTGTGGCTCCAGGCTGGCTCCAGATGGAGGGGTCAGAGACACACTGCCCTGCTGTCCCAGCATGCATTGGGCTCTCAGGAACAAGTGGAGCCCCCAGCCACACGCCTACACACAAACAGCATTCACTGGAGCCATGCAATGTGCCAAGCACCTTAGATGTTAACACATCTAATGACTGTATTACTCTCGTTTACAATCTCCGTCCATCAGCTATGCCCCTCTGTCTTCTGTGTGAAGAGACAGACTCCAGAGGAAAGATGCATATTTACTGTGTAATGCTAGAGAACACCGTATGTGCAGCTTAATGCAGTTTGAAGCAAGTACACATGGGATAAAAGTGTACAGTGCACAGCTCTCCTAATTAGATATGGGCTGCAGTCTATTCATTAAAGCAGCCACGGACCAGCACTGACCACTGTTTTAGTGGAGGTCTGTGTGGGTGTGTGTGAACAACAGCCATAGTCCATAGTGACACTGGTGCTCAACCTAGATAATTCCACTGTCTAAAGGAGTCAGGTCATTTACATAGAACAGTATTCTACAGGCAGAAACCAAACGACTGTCTGAGTCACCAGTGAGAGGACAGCAGGCTGCAGCACGCTGAGGGTGCACAAAGCTCACAAAGTTGCAAAGACAACTGTTTGTATGAGTGGATGGGTTAGCGTGTGTGTGTGAAAGTGTATTGTCTTTAAATACAGGCTGCGTTAACAAATAGTAGTAATGATGCATCAGTTTAGTATAGTGCTTTTGGGTCAAAAGATACTTCACATGTCACTGTTCAGTACACAGTGGTGGGAAACGGATGTCTCTTTGATCAAATCTAATTTCACCTGGTTAATAAACATGTAAAGGAAGTAGTTTGAATGTAGCCATACATCAACTGTATTTGTCTGTGATCTTATATAACAATATAAACTAGCAATAACAGCTTTCTACTGTCTCATATACATGCATGGATTAAACGTGGACTAAACCAGATTGAGTCAGGTCTGGTTCAGTACTGAAGCACTCAGCATTCTTATATTTGTGAGGTGAAATAAGTTCACTCATGCTGCTTTAAGAGACTGGGCAGGTGTGAGCGCTGAGACTCTGGGGGAGAGACAGACATGTTTCCTTTACAGACAGTGTTGCCGGGCTCTCATGGTTCTGGTTTGACTATGAATGAAACGGCTCATGATTACAGTAAGCATTACAGGGGCAAATAATTAGAAATGGTCACTATAATCAAATTCATCATTTTCTCCATGGCTCAAAATAAAGTATTTATTCCTTACTCAAAAGTTTCAATTACAATTTAGTGACCTCAATTATTTGGTCTAGTTAAGTTTATCATTTACTTAACTGGTTTTACACAGTGACCTGGCCAACTGCTCTGAAGCCAACATGTGATTTAGCATTTCAAATAATATTGATGGCCTAGATTACTCAATAATTGATGGTAATAATCACTGGCTGCAGTGGAACCAGAGTGTACTACAGGCCACTCTCTACCTTGTGCTGTCTACAACTCGTGACGCGAAAGCCTATAAACTACACAAAGAACAAGTGATAAAAGATTTAAGATTTTGTTATGGTTTCAGGAGAGGCATATTTTCTAGTTACCTCGAGGTTCCTCAGCCTGTTTCGCCAGTTTACGGAGGGCCGCAGCAAAGCCAGAGTGCGTTGACTGTGCTGGACTTCCATTGGCTACGATGGAGCCATTGAGCGGCGACGGGGTGAGGGGACTGACCGTCGCCGTGGTTCGGGTCGCTGTGGAGATCATTCCTAATGATGGTGATTTTGGTTCATGGCTCATGCCTAGAAAAGAACAATGGTAAAGAAAGAATAAGTATTTCAATGACTAAACAAGGTCTTTGTAGCATAAACAATTTCATGTTAACTTCATAACTTTTCAGTATTACAAAGAAACGAGAGGTAGTAAATGTTCTCTGAAAAACAAGCATGGCGCTGAGTGTTTGTGACAGCTGTGGCATGGGGACTGGTGGCTTTGGTGGCACGCCTCAAGGCCAATGGTCAGAGGTTAGGAGGCCAGGTCATCCTTTCCCCCCCCTCTAAAAGCTTCCGTCTGCATTTTTCTGGAGAATATGTTTAAAAAAGAAACTGGAGAATATGTTCAGGTTTACAAGAATGTTTCGAATGGCAAAAGATAAATATAGAAATAATAATACAAGTTTGTTATATCCATTTTAGGTCATATTCATGGTATTCAATCATGGCCCTAGTGTACTCAGTAACTAAAATATGAAATACTAAGAAACTGACCTACCTCTAGGAGATCAACACAGACTCTTTGACAAGTGAATAAGTCAGAGAGTGTACATGTGTGTGTGTGTGTGTGTGTGTTTGTGTGTGTGCGGGATGTGTGTGTAACCCTATGTTTGCTTGAAGGGATGGAGGCATGCTGTCCATTCTGTGAGTTTGTGCTTGTTTGGTGAAAGGTGACACCACATTGACAGACCCTAAGTCCCTAAATGTCAGTATTGGTGGGTGATCATGACACTGCTGTATAAACACAAAAATGAACACACATCAATGAACTGATGAAGTCACTGGAATAGCGTGTCACTTGTTGTCGTTTGATATTAGCAAAACCAGAATTAGACACTACTGGTGTGGATGATAGCTACACTACCACTGAACTGTTTGATTAGTATGTGTTGAATCTGAGTTTAAAAAATGTGTTCAACAATCCAATGAGTTCAGAACATAATGAATGCTCATCCTCTATGATAAGAAATGCTAACAAGATAATAGAATAAGAAATAATTAAATGAATTTGGGACAATGATGTGTGTAAAGCTTATATTAGCTTGCAATACAGTTGTTATTCAATCTAAAAACAGCATGCGGAAAAAGTGAGTATAAGAGCAAGTTATTTTTTTGACATAAAACTAACTGCTACTGAAATAAATAACATTATCTGTGCAAACATGACCCAGGATGTCTGAGAGAGACAGAAGACTGACAAACATGTTATCTGACAGATCCACATGGTAGAAGTGCCTTACTGCACAAAGGAGAGTCCCCCACCACAGCATGTTGTACTTGAACCAACCGGAGCGCAGACCGGCAGACGCGCTGGTCGGGACGCGCACCATGGTCCCGCTCTCTGCCTGGCTCTGCCTCTATCTCTTGCTTGGCTGTCCGCCCTCGCTGCCCGCCTGCCTTCCTCTCTCTCTCTCGAGCTCACAAAGATCGCTTGGAGCTTATCTAACAAAAGCAACACGCCACACACGCCGTCTACCTCTCTCCTCCTTGTGCTTCCTCTCACTGTTAGTGAGAAAACAGAAATTCTTAGCCTAGCAGCTGCTGTGATGTCACATGACCTCACCCCGCTTCCCCCACTCTCAGTCCTCCTCCCCTCTCAACCTATAATTCCTCAGCCATTTGCAGATAACAAACAGAGGCTTGCATGTCCTGCCAAGACTAGGGGGAGGGGAGCTGAGAAGGAGGAGGAAGCTCAGGCGGTCACCACATCTGACCCCATTGCTGAAGCGACAGGCGATGTGTCTATGTGCTCATGTTTATACGGACAAAAAAGGGGAAGGGTAAGTATGCCAAATGCCCTACCCTTGTGAAGATAGAAAAGGCATCGCGAAAGAGTAAGGGCATGTCCTGGCCTGTGTCAAACAGAACGATTGTAAGACAGTAAGGCCATTATTGGCTCATTTACCCCAATTTGCAAGTTTTCATGAAACCTGCCCAATATCCCCAACTTTCCCAGTTACAGTAATTTATAAAAATAGTACAATCAAAATGTGTGCTGATATCTGGGCGGAGGAAGCCAATGTGCTAAAGTGTCTGAGGTAGAAGATTGTGGGTTTGACTTCCTCTCTGTCCATCCTGCTGTCAGAGCTGGGGTGTGACGACTACTTTACTAATGCCCTCCTCCAGGCACCTACCACTACCATAAGAACAAACAATAACAGATTGTCTTTGGACCTGGTCAAATTGGTGTCAATGATGATGGAACTGGTTAATTGAGATATGTCTGGATCCATCTCAGAGTATAACTTTATTAATACAGGAGCCATAAAACACACAGACTGGGATGCCATCTTTATCCAGCAGATGGTGATGTCTGCCTGTTAATCAGAGGATGCCCTCTAGTAATGAAGTAGCATATGTCACTGTCCTTTAATCCTGTGATACACAAAAGAGATTTGAACTGATACTGATGCAAGATAAATCCATTAAACGACTTCACACACTAGAAAAGGTTTAGAGACCTTGCAAAAGAGCTTTAGAAATCTTAAATTCTTTAACCCTTGGCTTTTTTCAAAGGGTTAAAAGAAGCTGTTACACACAAGGCATCCTGGCGCATATAACTATTCACATGCTGTGCTACCCTGAGGGGAGTAAAAACAAAACGGAAAAGGAATGCAGATTATAAAAATAAAAAAAACATAGGCACACACACAAAGCAGATTGACTGCTAAATGACATACAGTAAACACATAGTCTGAACACCCCACAGGGAGCAAAGCCGATCACAAAGTCTACAGTCAAACAAACACACAGCTCCACCCTTGTGCTGAGTGAATGTAGTGAACTACAAGTGTGGAGTGCCCACACACACGCACACACACACACGCACACACACATACACACGCAGCAAATCCGCTTGGCTCCCGTGTGCCCGGACAGTGGGAGATAATGCAGTAGCTCTAGTGAGTGGTTAATCTTTAACCGATTTGACTATCAGCTTGATAAAACTAGCAGTGCCAAGCTGCTGGCCCATCTAACTGATACTGCTACCAACCTGGCTCGCTCCTCATCAGCTCTGATGAGTTACGGTTTCTTGGCAGAAAACAGGACCATAGTTGTACCACAGTACATTATTCCTGTTTCACAACAAGGCCCTGCCATGACATTTTCTGCCCACAATTTAGCAATAAAAATGTAACTGTTTAAACAGACTGGCACCACATAGTGGTATCAGAGGCAACAGACACCATAAATCATCTATTCCATTTGCTCCATTATGGCCATGGTTGTTGGGGAGTTCAGCAGTCCTACATACTCTCTTGTACTACATACCTGTAATGGTGTGACAGTTTTGGCCACTACAGTAAATTTCGACTTGAAAACCTGTAACCGCTGGGCAGACCTGCAGCCTTTTGCTACACAACATTACTGCAAATATGCAACTGGTGGAAAGTATACCTACTGACTTGTTTGGAACTTCATTCATAGTTTTTATTTGTATTTTGGATGCATTCACATATAAGAAATAAAGAATGAGAGACTTTGGAGACTTTAATAGCTCCTGCTCCGAGAGAGGTACGTTGGTTTCTGACATTCTTATTTATTCACATTTTCAAAGGTTAGATGGTCAAATACAAATAGTCTAGTGAGGTTCGTACATTGGAGAAGGGATGCACCAATCAAGCTTTTCATCAAACGATAAATCTCTATAATTTGGTAGCACAGGTACCTTGACACCTCAGTGTATTTATCAATCCGATGTAGTTGAGTTGCATCAAATGAAATGTTTTTATTTATTTATTAGCAAGATAAACAGAACAATAGGTATATTTAATATATTTACTTAATGTATTAAAGCCAAAATAAAGTTGATACAACTCAAGACACAGATCAGAGCCCTGGCCCTTTACAGTAAGTCCTGGTCTCAGATCTGGTCCAACAGCAGCAGCCTGTTGATTCCGTCCCTTTGCCACAGCATCAGCACAGATGCATGGACTACACATTTCTCACTGATGATATATATTTTACTGCAACTGAACTGAAATATCTTGCATATCAATTTTACTTTTACACAAACTTTGCATCACTCCATTTTATCTGACTTTTATTTTTGTACCTTTCCAGTATTTGCAAACACACATAAATAAAAGGAATGAAGATAATGGCGACACTGCACAACCTGGTTTTATACCTGTTCAAGCTACAAAATGCACAAAATTTTGCATCAATCGGCCTCAAATTCACAGAGAAATATAGCAAAGAGAAAATATGAAAAGACAAACTTGACATAATGACAGAGAAATCAAATGCCTCAGGAGCATGAAAGAACATTTACCAACAAGCTTTGCATCTATAAAGGAACGCATTGCTTCTGCAATGTAAAGTGAATCGAAAAAACGTTGTTCAATGTAACAAATGGATGTGATCATTGGTAATACGAGGTACAGTATTTCAATTCCCTATTGATATTTAGGTTTATAAACTTACTACTCCAACAAACATTCCATTTAAAAAAAACTATTTTTTGTGAGGTACTAATAAAAAGACATTTAACTTATATATGTAACTATGTTGACTAATTGGTTTCTATATTACCTGCATTGTATTCCATATTTTATTTATGTTTTCTTTTCAATTATGGGCCCAATTTTTTTTATTGCATTCTGTGGTTCTGCAGCACATCACAGCAGAGTCTAGAGCAAAGTGAGCAGTAAACCTGTCCCTTACATGAGCATTCCTCAGACAACCAGCCGTGCACATGCACATGCATACTTAACTATTCGTAATATTCATCCCTTACACCTTTACTTTGCCTTTCTCTCCTCCATTAACTGTGTATTCAACAGCACTGGGCCTCAGCTCCAACAAGCCTCTCCTCCTCCAACCTACCAACAGCAGCTTGCAACAAAAACAGAGATTTCCAAATATCAGCCGGCATCTTTTTCTCCCTGGCCTCACCTTCTTCTCTTCTTTTCCTCACAACACACACACAAAGAAAAAAGCATTGTGTCTTGAGGGTAGGCACGAGCTCAGGATGATTTCTTTTTCTTTTAT